AAATAGCAGTTAGGCAATGGAGATTTTCTTAATTGTTTAAAATTAAAAAAATTAAAAAAAAATGAGTATGAGATATTGATTATAGGGTTTCTCACTAAAAATCTCTTTTTGTTTATATAAATGGGAGCATAAGATTTATTTTATTTAAGTGAAACAATTCACTTTTTTTTTTTTCCAATACAATCCAATAATTAAATTTAAGGAATAATAACATGGAAAAGACATGAACAACCATACGAGGTTATGAAACCCAAGTCCAAAATACAAAATGGGTCAGGTATAAACCAAAAACGCTATATTCTTAATTGTTTAAAATTAAGAAAATTGAATAATTTCAGAATAAGGGTTTGAAACTCTGAGAAGGTTTCTCCTTAAAAATCTCATTTTTCTTATAAAATATACAAGCCTTCTCAATAGAAATCCCATTTTCCTTATATAATAAGATAGATAGATAGTGAAACAAATTTTGTTTTTTCTTCTTCTCCCAATGTGGGATTATAAAATAAATCATAAACTAATTAGAGTTTTATTTTTATATGGTTAAATGAAAGTTAGCCAATGGAAATCGCGATTAAACCAGAGAATCGGTCAAATCCAAAATGGTTTGGCCTAATCGGTTAGGTCAAATGACCAACCAATTTATACAAAAATTAATTAATTAAAATTTTTAAATGTTATTTTAATTTTAAAATTTAAACTGTCTTAAATTGAAGTATATACAATATTACATTATTAAAATTCACTTTATATGAGTGAAACAACTCACTTTTTCTTTTTCTTTTTTCCGATGTGAGATTATAAAATAAAAGTTAACAATTATTTGGACGAAAAATTTATTTTTAATCAAGCAATCTCAATCTTTCAATTTTTAATCAGATCGATCTTTAGTTTATTTTGAATCAAACAAATATAATCAATATATTTTGATAAAATCACTAAAATCACAATTAAACCAACAAATCAATCAAATCAAAAATGATTTAGCCTAATCGGCTAGGTCATAATTAATTAATTAAAACTTTTAAAATTTAAACTATATTAAATTGAAACATACACAACACTACAATATTAAATGAAATTAGAGTATAAGATTCACTTTATATGAGTAAAATAACTCTTCTTTTTTTTTTTCTTTTCTCGATGTGGGTCCCGATATGAGATTATCAAATAAAAGTTAGTCAACAGAGATTTTCTTAATTGCTTAAAATTAAGAAAATCAAAAAAATTAGTATGAGATATTTAAACTCTCATAGGGCTCCTCACTAAATGGGATGGAAGTATAAAATTCTTTTTATATGAATAAAACAACTCATTTTTTTTCTTTATTTTCCCGATATGGGATTATCAAATAAAAGCTAGCCAAAAGAGATTTTCTTAATTGTTTAAAATTTAAAAAATCAAGAAAATTAGTATGAAATATTGAAACTCTCACAAGGCTCCTCACTAAAAATATTATTTTCCTTATATAATATATAGATAGATAAATAGATAGACGAGTGTCATGTCATTATAATATTTAATATTTAAATTGTGTCAATTTGATTCTCAATGTATAATAAATGTTTTAATTTAGTCTTTCAATGTTTAAATTGCATCGGGAGACTAAATTGAAACCTTTTTTTTTTTTCTTTTTTTAACATTGAACACCAAATTAAACACTTCTATACATTGGGGATTAAATATAATTTATACTATGATATCTCCATGGAATGTCCTTTTTTTGGTGTTTAAAAAAAATTGACACAATTTAAATATTAGGGACCAAAATATCTCATACTTTGGAGATTAAAAATGCAAGTGAATTTCAATCATCTCAATTCAGTACATAAGGTGAAACTATTTTAAGTACATACAACCTCACTACAATCATATATATCAATTATAGTGATGTTAGGAACATAAAAACTAAACACATGCACATCGATTAAGCTCAAACTGTCTATATTGAAAATCATACAAAAAACAACTAATTAAACACCAAAACAGTTGTGTACACACACACTGTTCATGAACACAGTTGTTTTGTTTTACAGGTAAATTTTGTTTTGTACATGAAACACATACGTAGTCAAGGACTACAACAAAAGAGAATTGATTCCTGACCTTGGAGTGATGTTTTTAACCTATAGCCTATATGGATCGAATAATATTTTTCAAGTGATTGAATAATAAGTTTCACAAAAGGAGAAAAACGTACTTGCATGAAGTGGTATTTTTTGTTTTTTGCTTTGTTTTGAATGATTTTTCTAATTTTCCCGGAAAAGAAAATCAGAGGATGACCCTTTTTAGGTTGAAGATTATGTAGATGGTGAAAGATGAAGTGGTGAGGTAGCAGTGAGGTAGGCTGGTTATGGTGGCATATACAGATTGTAGCTACATTCCATTCATTTAGGGGTGCAACTTGGGCAGGCTGAACTCGAGCAAACCCGAACCCAGTTTAAATTTTTTTAGAGCTTGAACAAGATATTTTCAAATTTGGTACAGACTTAGACAAAAATTCAAAAGTCCAAATTAAATTTGGACGGACTTAGATAAAGACGTCAAACAACCCAAGCAATCCAAAATCCAAATTATATATATATAGATATATAAAAATATTAAATATACATATAAATTATTAATCATTACATGATATTAAAGTAATTTAGATAATTAAATCATATTGAATATATATTATATACACAAATAACAAAAAATCTTACTTTTTTTATTTTCACTCATAAATTGTAAGAACTACTACAGCAGCATCTCTTTTACATTATATAAATTATTTATTTTGATGGTATTAATGATTTTCTATAATAAAAAAAATGTAAATCGAAATTTTAATAATTTAATAATGTAGCTGTCAAAAAAAAAATTAAAATTCATTTACAATTCGGACAATTCAGGTTTAATTCGGATCGGACTTGGGCAGGCAACCTTAGGTTACAATTTGGGCTTGGACAGGCCTAGACAAGTCTCAGCATAACTTAGATTAGGCTTGGATAACCTCCTATCCCGATCGAATCCGCCCGAGTTCCATCCCTAATTCCATCCCAAACAAGTATTTGGGGAATTCCATGTCTAGTCAACCATCTCTAGCTAGGTTATTAGACAATTATTAAGATTCTTCTTTTCATCAATTTTACAAGCTCAAATAAAAGGCTTAGATAGTCCGATCGTTCCATGCTTTTGTTTTCTATTGACTATATTTGAAGGTAGATCATAATCAAACTGATTGGCAGCCAAGGCTAAGGTCTTTCTCCTTCAATCTATAATTGCCAAGCTAGCAGAAATTAGGTCAGGGTTCCAATATTAGGCTGTGTTTGATTGATAGATTTGGATAGAGATTTGAAAAAAAAAAAAATGAAAAAGTACGCAAAATATGGATAAAATATAAATATATTTCACACACTTTTTACTTACCTTTTCCGTTTCTATTTTCAAATCCCTATCCAACTCCATCAACTAAAAACAGCCTTAATAGGAGTAATATGTTCATTTCTTTTTTAAAAAAAAGTTAGAAGTATCCACTAAATTTTTTTCACAACAAAAATATAATTTTTTTTTAACAATTACTCAATGCATAAACTTTTTTAACATTTATTTGTTTTAAAAAAAAATAAACAATTGTCAAATTCAACTTTCATTTTCATTGGATCAAAATCAACTCATGAAAGTGTAGCTGAAAATATCTCCTATAATTGCTATACTTATAAATGTGGCAATTATCATGACTCATTCATCAAATTGCCCTTTTACCAAGTTGCAGACAATCAGAAATTGCAAATACCCAAATCAAATACAGTGCCATGAATGAGTCATGATAATGAACTATTAATCTTGATATGTTAGAAATATAGATAAAAAATTATACTGCAATCTCTTTTACCCTTAATAAAAAGGAGATCAGTGTAATTATGTTTAACTTGTGAGGCTTCATATATTTTTTTCAAACCTTAGGGAAAAACTTTGGGGAAATTTGCTTGAGGACGTTGTCTCCATTGACAATGGTTTTTTTATTTTTAAAGTAAAAAGTGAAGAGGCTATGGACACAATCTTGGAAGATGGCCCCTATTATGTTGTGGCTAGATTGATTGTTATTAAAAAATGGCAACCTGGACTAAAACTAACAAAGTGTGAATTTTCAAGTGTGCCATTGTGGGTGAAGTTGTACAATGTTCCTTTGGAACTTTGGAGTGAAGAGGGTTTGGGTTACATAGCTAGCATCTTGGGAACTCCTCTTTATTTGGATGAGCCAACTTTCAAGAGAAGCAGACTTACGTTTGCGAGAATTTGTATTGAAGTGCCAGCAAATAAAGAGATCCCTAAGTCTTTCAAAATAAATCTTGGTTATGGTGACCCATATGAGATTCAAGTTGAGGTACCATGGAAGCCCCAAAGGTGTGATGGTTGTAAGACTTTTGGCCATACCACTAATTTGTGCCCTCAAAAGCCAAAGTCTTTGAACCCTCCCTCCTTCAAACATGAGTGGAGAGTCAAGGACACTAAAACACAAATTCCGACTAAATGGGAAGTGGTGAAGAAAAAGGGGAGAGATGGTGGGCAAGGTTCAACGCCATTGATCAACAAAGAGAGAGAGACGTAGTCTTCTATCCCCTCAACATCTAATGCCTTTGATGTCCTTGAATCGTGTGATATGGACGAGTTAAGAAATGGAGATTCAAGTCAAGAGTTGAGAAATAGAGGGAGTCCATCTCCAAGTGATTCTAGTTATGGGGAGACTTCAAAAGAGGATAACAGAAGAAAATTTAAAGCGAAACTTCATGACTTGAAGAATGCTAGAAGGAAATTCTGAATCCTTGTTTTGTTGGGAATGTTGTGCTTGTTTTCTATAGGCTCAGTTTGTTTTTTGATGGAGTAGTTTATTTTGTTTATTTTTGTGCTCCCATCAAAAGCTGTGTGTTGAACTTCATTGTATATTTTTCTTTTTTGGTTATAATATGACTTACTTATCCAAAAAAAAGAACATAAAAGAGAAGCACAAGAAGGAACGCTTACACCAATCAAATTTGTAACTCTTGGATTAATCACCACCAAAAGAATATAATAACAATCTATATTCATTCAATTCATTATGTACAGTAATATCTTCTGTCGACAATTTCATTCAACTTGATGTCTGCTATGCTTCTATTTGCCAAACAATATTAGCAGATGAGATGAGTGATAAAAGTTAGTCTGGTGACATATTTTTAGTTGAAACGGAGGAGAAACCTAATCATATATATAATGCTCATTAGTCATCACTATCTAGATAAAATATGTATAGTTGACTTGAACGTATTTACAAATGTACTCACCATATAATGTGGGTCATAGCTTAAGATCCTTCAGTGACAGTTAGCCCCATGCCATGGAACAAGCATAATTAACCACCAGCTTACCATCGAAACCAAAATTCTGAAAACACAAAAGTGGCAAAACTAAATGACTGAGAAACAGAAGCAAAATCAGTATCAGAATTCAAACAGAGTGTTTGCACTTTCTTTCAGAAGTATAGAGAAACAGCACGCAAGTCGCTGGAAAGCAATCTTATATTTTTAATTTACATTAATACATCCATAAAAGTAACTGGAAATTTAGCTCAGTCTTCTTATCCGAGAAAGATTTGAGAATCTCCATAAAAATCTTGCTAACCATTTACTCAATTCCCCCCTATAAAGCATGGGTATTTCGAAAAATATGCTGTACCCGTACCGGATATTTACCAACGTATGGTACCTTGTATGGTACTTCTACATACGTACCAGGTACACGAAACACGTACCCAATTTTTTTTTTTTAATTTTTGACGTACCCAAACGTACCTACTATATACCCAAGACGCACCGTACCTCAGTTGAAACAATATTTTCTTCTACTACAGAGATAAAACTCCTTTCACTAGACTTCTTTTTAATTTTTACTTTTATGCTTATCATGTTTTTAAAATCAAACTATGGTTTGTAAGTTATTTAATATATTGACATTTAATTTTGATTTATACCTCTACTTTTAGCATTAAATGTTAATTATAGGTTAAATCTTAACAAATTAAACGATTTAATTAATTTTTACATTACTCTAAATTAAAAATAAATATTTTTTTACAAACGTACCAAGCAGTACCGTGCCCTACTTTTTTTGGATTTTACCGTATCAACATACCCATATCGTACCAGTACCAGTACTAGTACTAGTACCCGTGCTTCATAGATTCCCCCATTGGTGAAATTTCTAAAATCAAATTGCCTTCACAAACACAGTCCACATACCAGTTAATAGAAGGTGAAAAAAAAGGTTGTCAACTTATCACAAACAAATATAAATTCCACTTGCAATTGGAATATATCTATTTAAGAACAAAGTTTTTTTTGCAGCTTTTGAGAAACTCATCATATGTATTTTCCTCTTCCTGAAAATCAGACTAAAATGTGACAACATATAAACCATAATGTAGATTTCAATCATACCTAGACACAACAAACAAAATGATACACGTCTACAACAAATGCCATCTTGTTGATGGTCTTTGTTATTGTTTGCTACTTATAAACATATGCACTCACAAAAACTCAAAAACAGAACATGTTTAGGTTTGACTATCTGACAATTTTACATGAACATAATTGATGCAATATAAAACAAACCTGCCCAAACACACAAGAAAAATGGAATTAACTCGCAACAACTTACCTTATACAGATCTATCACCAATTCATCTGGGTTGGGTGAGAAGGCACTGTTGACATACACAAACTATAGAGCAAGAAAAACAATTTTAAAAAAAGGAATTAATTACTGCAAGCCTCAGTGATTCAACAAAAATAAGGAAAAAAATAAATAAAGAGAATCATCTACCAATGTCTCCCTGTGAAGCTGGCGACGAAGAAAGTCAATCACTTTAGCAAACTTATCAGTTCCAGCAATCTGTAATCCTCAAAAGTATCGAACACGTACATATCAACATTGGTTAATGGCAATCAACAACAATACAAAAAATAAGGATTTCCAAGAATTGACTAAAGCCACATAATTTGTACATAGCACCAGGAAAAGGGCAAATCCATGAACAACCAAAGCATCCTCATTAATTACACAACCTTTCAGTTATAAACTATAACTCACTGTGGTGATACAATCAGATTTTAATAGAAGGAAAAATATCATAAAGCTTCCTCCATTAACATATTTCATTGACTAAGAAGCGCTAATCATGCTCTGTCCGAAAGTTCCCTTTCAGAAGAATGTTAAAGACTCTGTCATGATAGGATATGATAATCTCATTATATACTCCTCAATATTTAGAAAAGCTAAGATGCTCAGGCCGAAAGTTCCCTTTCATAAGAATGTTTAGACTTTGTTATATTGGGATCATTGTTGTCAAATCATGAGTCATTTTGCTAAAATAGGGAATCGAAAAATCGTAAGATAGTGTTTAAAATAAATTATATATTATACACATATAAAAATATACACATAGCGTTTAAATAAAATAATTTTCAGCATAACTAAATTGTATTTATATATGTACATATAAAATTACATATAAATTAATATAATTAGTTGATCACTTTTTTATTTTGAAAAAAACATGTCGTTTCATGCATTATGCAAACAGAATTGAATCGCAACTAATCGCAGCGAATTGCAATGAATCATTGTCAATCATAATTGAATCGTACAATCCAATCAATATAAGATTCAACAGCAAGAATCAAATCATTTCTGTTGAAAACTGTATCAAATCGCATAAATCGAATTGTGAATCATAAGATTCTACCAACCATGGATGGGATGATCATATCCACCCTCCACCCAATCTCAGCACAATTCTAATGATCTAGAAGCATTTGAGAATGCCTCAAAATAAGTATTGCATACAAGATGGTTACCACATGCAATTAAGCTAATATTGCCATGTGAATGATCTACAATTATATACAGTAAGTTGGAGCCACTAAATTCTCTTGCTTTCTTATTGGCTAGGTCAGTCCAATGCAGTTTACTCACAAAGAAGAAGATCCCCACAAATTGCTACAAAGTAATATAAGGAATAATGTTTCAGGAGAAAGCTATCACATGAAGGCAGAAATATGAACCCAAGCATAATTCATAACATTCTGACATTATATACAATACAAACACAGTTAAAAACTCTAATAATATTCAATGCACAATATACACATTTATTCAAACATTCTATAAAAAAAAAAAAAAAATTAAAAAACCCTACTGCAAACTCCACAAAAACAGAGAGAACCCCATCAACCTAATGAATTCCCAATCTCTCACTTGGCCTAATTTTGAATCATAATACTGGATCATTGATGTGAGGACATAAATTCATATTTGTATGTGAACTAGGTTTTCAAGTATAGTTTTCAGATCAGCAATTCAATGAGAGAATATTCAAATTAGATTAAAACAATCACAAATTAAGTAATCAATCAAAATGATATTAAAAAAAAAAATTAACAAAGAAATCAAAGAAGACATGCCTTGAACTTGGCTTGCTTTAGAATTGGGGCATCACCAGTGGCTCTTAGATGAACAACAACTACATCAAATAAAAAGGGAGGAACCCAAAAAAAAAACACCATTAATGAAGCTTAATCAACTAAAATTAAAATTCAATTTAAGAAAAGAATTAGGGATTGAACAGAGACTACTGACCTTTACGAGCAGAACTCGGAGACTCCGAAGCCATATTTCTCAGAAAGAAGAAGCAGAGGAAGACGCACCTAGGGTTACAACCTTTGGATTATTGTTTTTTGGGAAGACAAACAGCTATTTCCATGACATATTTTACTACTTCCACTCTTTATTATTATTATTTTTTATTTTATTTTTTTTGGGTAATTACCAAAGAAACAACAACAAAAAAAAAAAAAAAAGTGTAATAATCCAAAGTTTCTATTTGAATTTTTGATTTCATCAATTTAAATTCAAAATTTTTTATTTGTTTTCAATCTAAATTATTTATCTATTTTTATTGAATAAAAATTAGCAAAAAAAATTATATTTTAATTATTAAACACAACAAAAAATTATATTTTAAATATTTTATGTACAACTACATTGAGCATTTTTATGTCAGTTTTATTTAATGAAAATAAATTGATAGTTTATATTAAAAATAAATTAAAAAATAGAGTTTAATTTGATAAAATTAAAATTCAAGATCTATTTTTTTTACAAAGGTCAAACCTTAGGGATTTTTTTTTTCTTCGTTTTTAATGTTTATTTTGGGTCGAATTCACTATATCTTTGTTTTTGGGGTTAATTATAGACCTCATCAACTATTTGTAAATATACACTTATCTCCTTTATTTATTAATTAGTATATTTTGACAATTTCCATTCAACTATAAAAATGTATCTCTTTCATCCTTCTAGATTACTTTTAAAAGGGGTATACTTGTATATTTTTATAATTGAAGAGATCAATATGAGCAAGTTCATAAATGAAAGGATAAGTGATATTCATTAATAGTTGAAAGATAATGGCATAATTAACCCTTGTTTTTGGTCTCAAGAACACATTTTATTACTCAATTTTAAAATCTTTTATTGTTTAAAGGGTAAATTACATTTTGTCATCTTTATATTTGGCCATTTTTCACTTTATAAAAATATTTTATTTATATTAGAAAATACAACTAAATAGCATAATTTTTTTTTTTAAATTTATTATGTTCACTTTGTAAAATCCCGTGCATCGCACGGGTGACTACTAGTATCTTTGTAATTGAAGAGATCAATATGAGCAAGTTCATAAATGAAAGGATAAGTGATATTCATTAATAGTTGAAAGATAATGGCATAATTAACCCTTGTTTTTGGTCTCAAGAACACATTTTATTACTCAATTTTAAAATCTTTTATTGTTTAAAGGGTAAATTACATTTTGTCATCTTTATATTTGGCCATTTTTCACTTTAACCCTTAAAGTTTTTTTTTTATTATCCACTTTGACCTTTCATATTTTAAGTTTTTTTCAATTTATTTCTAAAGTTAATTTTTGTTTAAAATTAGATAGAAAATGCAACGATAACTATCACATAATATAAAAAATATATTTTTATATTGAGATTTGAATTTGTGTTAGAGATGTGAATTATGTATAATAAAATATGTCTATACCACGTGACTGTCAATGTGTCATTTTCTGACTAATTTTTAACAAAAATTAAGCTTAAGAATAAATTGAAAAAAACTTGAAACATGAATGGCCAAAGAAAAAAAAATTAAAGATCAAAATAAGAAAAAGACCAACTATAAAAAGAGCAAAGTGTAATTTTCTTTTGTTTAAATAATGTAGTCACTCCGAATATTTTTAAATATGAGACCACTTTAACTTCAAGGGGTTGGCCCTATGGGTGCAACTTGGGATTTAGGAGTGTGCTCCCTCTAGATCTTAGGTTCAACTCTCATTAGAAGCAATCCATTCCTTGGGGCCACGTCCGCAGGCTGTGCCCGAGATTTGTCCGATCTACGTGAAAGGGACGCTTTATCTGAGTCTCGGGATTAGTCGAGGTGCACATAAACTAACCCGAACACCTGATCATCAAAATATATATATATATATGTGTATGAGACCTCTTTCTGTTGACTTTTAAATGAATCTTGTATCGAATCATTCTTAAGTGTATTTTTTTTTTTTTTTTAACTAGGGACCATTCTGAAGTTGATACATTGGCCCTGTTTGGGTAATTGATTAGGGTTAAATTAGTTAACAAAAAGATAAAATAAGTTAATTTGGTCAATAAAATAAAATGTCACATTCAAACTATAATTATTTTACTTTTTTATATCCATTAAATCAACTAAAAAAAAAGTGAAAATTTTATATTAAACTGAACTTTTTTAACCAATCTAAAATAACTAAAAAAAATCAAGGTAAAAAAGTTTATCTCAAAAGGGGGCCATTATGTATATATGTATATATATATATAAACATGAAAAGTCTACAATGTGAGCCTTCTAAAAGGGCATATGATATGCACTTATTATGCGGTCCATATTGTACCATGTAATAAAAAGTAACCTGCTAAACAGGTCATTTAATAGATTACATGAAGAATCATAACTTCTTTTAAAAATCATAACAATTACTATAATGAATTATAACAATGTCATAATATACACTACGATGTTATAACAAAGACACTATCAATCATAACAATATGACAACGACTCATAACAAATGTAGTTATTTCCAACAAATTATCGTAACATTTGAATCGTAACATTTTTTATTATGATTCACCATAACAAATCATAACTTTTGGTAGTGTAAATCATAACTTTTTCTAATGAATAATAACCATGACACATTGATTGTAACTTTTTTTTCCCACAATCATAACGACATTAACAAAATATCATAACTTTTACCGATGAATCATAACATAGCACGTTGATTGTAATTTTGTTTCGAAAATCATAACAATATTAACAAAACATCATAACTTTTAAAATTTCAAACACAATTAATTGTGTAATCAATTAGTATAGCATATAAGAGTGATTGGAAAATCATAATTAATTGCAAAATTGATTAGATTCAAGGACCACAATTGATTATACAATCGATTAGTAGCCAGGGTTTTGAACAATCACAATTGATTGTACAATCCATTGGTATGTGTTTATACTATTGTTATTTAATCGATTATACAATCCAGTAGAATATAAGGAAATTCAAATATCACAATTGATTGTAGGGATCCTTGATATACATAATTGATTCAATAATCAATTAGTTTTCATAAGCCCCACTAAACCAATTAATTCCCAACGTATTCATAGGTCCTAATCAATTAGTAAAAGCCTAATCATTACTATCAATTTAGTTAAGATTTGAATAGTAATTGATCGGTCGCCATTTTTATCTAATTATGTTGTTGTATTGCAATTACCTCAAACATTATCAGTAACAAAAACGCATGACACTCCAACTACGCGCCTCTCTCTCTCACACACATTATCTTCAATGTTAATGTTACCTGAAATGTTATTGCTATGACCATCTTGTCGACTCTCACTCTTTCTTTCCTTGTCATTATTAGTGAATTAGACAATAATGTTATTGTTACCAACTTCAATTAATCACGCCCTTTGATCAACTAAAACACAACCATCATCATCGACTTACACCACTATAATAGCATTGTTGCCGCTACTAGTGTTATGTTGTCGTTATGTCCAAATGATGATATCGGCTATAAATCACTTTGACACATTTATGAATCGACACATACCACTATTAGTCCTTACCTGTTATTTCATAGTCGGTCACTACCTTTTTACCGTCACTCCTTTTTAAAAATAATAAATTGTATTTTCATTCTTAGATATATATTGTTTGTCATTATACCCACCTTAGTCCCTATATTATTTGTCTTCTCTTATTTTGGTCCAATTGCTAACTGCTGAGGGTAACTTTGGAATTTTAAAAATTAACTTTCCTACTTCGATCACTTAGAAAACTTTGTTTTCCCACTTCAAAATAGATAGGTCATGGCAAGCAGTAAATGGAAGTGTTCTACGATGGAGGATTGCATGTTGAGGTGGTCTATAGGGGAGGTTTTCGTACAAATAAAGGTGAACTTGACCCATGCTGCATTTTCCGTCACAAAAGTATAACATTTGTTACAATTTGGACCAAAGTGAGGGAGTATTCATAGGTAAGCGGGGTGAAGGTGTAATTTATCATTTTACAAAATGTAAACCATGCCCTAATTTGTGAAGAAAATATCGATATTAGTAATATCATAATAATTAATATTTATTATTAGAAAATATGCTAACATAATTTAATATGAAGATTTAATAATTTTAATAAAGGTAAAAGACGAAATATCATTTTGCCTCTCATACTATCACTGAAAAATTAATTTAACCTCTATTATTTGAATAATATGAATTTTACACTTAGTTTATTTGATTTTGGATTAATTTTATCAATTTTTTTTCTTCTATTTTGACCAAAAAAATACTTGTTTAGATCATTTCAAACAATCTCCAAGTTTAGTCACAAAAGTTATGTTTGAAATGATAATTATTTATTTATTTATTTTTTTTGATTTGATAGTTGTGAGATAAAAAGTATAGTGAGTATGGATTAGATGCGACATTTTGTCTTATTAAACAGGTATAACTCTCTCGTCCAAACTCCATTTAAGGTCGTTCTAGTGTCCAAATTGAAGTCCCGGAAGTAAGCTTTCCAGTGGTTCTAGCCTCACATCAAGATTCATAGTATGGAGAGAGAAAATGATGAAAGAGTGAAAACTACTCAATAATAATTATTCAAATTTGGAGTTTCTGATTCAATCTTACCTAACCACTATGGTAACACCTCAACTAAGTCTCAAATAACAACTAAGAAGGTTCTCAATCAAGGTAATCAAAGAGTCAAATATAGTTCCATTATAATAGGAAGCACAGAGTTCTACAACTTGACGCATTGAAAGACTTTAATACCGTAAGACACTTGCTCTCAATTATATGTATTGTCTGACGACAATATAGTGAATCCACTAACTACTCAATGATATATAATTGAGAAAGTCAAACGGAAAATAGTGGCCGCTAAACAAAAGGTTTGACTAGAGAGCAAATGAGAAAAAGTTCATCGTGGGGAATGTGATTAAAGCCTATTAATTTTGAGTTGCCATAATGGTAACTCAACCTAATTGACTGGAGATTCCAAGATCTAGATTCAACTGGACAACCGAATTATGGATGACTCACTCGAAATCACTAAGGCAGCTAATCTCTTATCTATT